CTTTGTCTCCAGCTGGTGTCCTGGAGAGCCTCCATCCCAGAGCTTTTGTGGAGAATCATTACTTCGTCACATTCCAAAGGCATGGAACCATTTAATTGTGATCAGTTTACAGTGACTGTTTTTTTACATCAAGTAATCTGGCAATCATTTGTAACAAATTGTCCGCGTTCAAAAACCACAGTTTCCTTTCAGATTGTTTGGAATCGGGTGACCCTACCTGGGCTATTGGACTGGGCAGATCCCTCCTCTGAAAGTTGACTGCGGGACAACTGACCACAGTACATTGCATGGCACATTGTCTCCCCATAAGTCATCTCCCTGCCACCTACTAATGCCCTATCCTTCTCCTGTGCCCATAATCCTTTCTCCTTCCTTTTCCCCATTTTTCTTTTTGTCCTCCATCTATCACTTCTCCTCCATCTTCTGACTCCACTTCCCCATATCCCTGTACCCTCATCTCTTCTTGCCCTTTCTGTCTCCCCCTGCACTCACATGCATGTAGGCAGTCTGTCATTATTTGCCCTGGTGCTTGCATGAATCGCCCCCTCAGTTGTGGCAGACGGTGAGCAGGCAAGCAGGTCACAGGGCTCATACCAGGTGCTTTTGCTGTGGTCAGAAGGGGGATGCTGTACAATGGCAGCACATGATAATAGCTATTAATTACAGCAGCTAGGAAGATAGACGCGTCTGTGATGGCGCAGTACATAAGGTTTGTTGATTAAGGGCAGCAGAGAATCCCAGAAGCACACATGTGCATAGACTTAGTTACAGGATGCACACACTCACACACAGACTGTCTCTCTTTCTCTTACACACATCCGTGTGTATGAGACAAAGCAGAGGCAGCTGTGTGCAGAAAAATACAAGTGCATCTCTCAAAGCAATCTGTCATTATTAATAATAATGAGGAACTGACTGATGTGCAAAATACATACGCATAACAACTTAAGGCAAATAGAACCCTCAGGTGAGACTCAAATTAAAAATCCCTCAGAGAGGGACAGATGATAGCACTCTGCAGTGATTTTTTTCATGGCACAGTAAAGCTGACTATATAGGTCATCACCACGTGCTTTTCTAGGACAGAGGTCTGTCACCCAGCAGCCAAACAGATCCCACTGCAACTCCGCACTGAACAGCTGATTCTTGTCTGGTTCTGGCTTCATCCAAACACAGTATGGATTGTGTTGTTTGCTGCTTTTTTCAAATAGACTCTTTCCCACCACAGGATACACAATTGTCTTTATTTTACTGAACTGATGTTCCTGCTTCTGTTTGAATTGTGAGTGCACCTGCCAGGTTACAAGATGTGTTTCATGTGGTGCTTTTTAAGCTGCGATCTTGCACCATCTGAATGTCACGATCATAATCCCTCCCCATAAGGGCGCTCCGGCTCTTTCTCATTTTAGTTGATTTTGTGCACCTGCCTCCTATCCAGCCTAAAAGCTGTTCTTCTGTTTCTACAGTACTATGGCGTATAATGCATTATATATATTCTTATGGCAATCTTCTGAAACATTAATAAGAAACTACGTATATTCTCATAGTCCAAGAGGATAAAGCTGACATAACCCAGAGAAGTGCTCTAGATTCATATAGTCCATGTGTACAGCGACACAGGCCAGTCATAGGACAGTAGACTCTTACAGTCCATGTAACAATAATAGTAATAATTTATCACACTAATATAGTGCTATTCTGGGGAGTACAGTAGAGTCCAGTACACTGACACAGCCCAGTCACAGGGCTCTAGGCTCTTACAGTCCCTGTGGAGTCCAGCACACTGACACAGCCCAGTCACAG